GTTGAGTTAAAATGAAAACCCTTCAGTAAAGCGTTGTGACTCAATGGATGTTCTTGTCGAAATATTTTCATTCATCTTGATGGATGAAAATATTGCTTGGAGTATAGTTGTACATTACTTTCTGTTGAATAGATAATTCGATTTTATTTAAATTCCATTTCTATTCCTTGCAATTCGTCTAATCACAATTGCCGTTACTCACAGCAACTTCTCTGTATATTTAATTTACGCTACTTCTTTCTATTTTATATTTCATGGATTACTTCTACTACCTGCATTTTCTCATTAGCCTGAAATTGGCACATTTTACGAATTCTCTTGTGCATTCACACTTGCATTGAATTTGAAAGTCTTGCTTTAAAACTTCTTTCCTAGTTGTAGTTTTGAACTCCTCTAATATAGTGGGTATTTTGAGAAAGCGTAAACCTTAAAGAAATTCTTGTAAAATTTTAGATTTACGCTGGCCAAAGTAAACCCTATTAGATTTAATCTGTTGAAGGAATAAAGATTGGGTAGTTTGAATAAATATAAGAAACGAATAAGTACGTTCGTTTAGACTTCTGTCCAACATTGCAATAAGCTGTTTATTTTAATTCGGTACAAATTTATCACAGCATAAACAGACATCTCTTTAACCACAATCACCACTGCGGCGTGATCCGTTCGTTTATATATTCATTTACTTCCGTGTAATTTATAAGCCTGTTAATTTGGTGCTTGGCATATATGACTTCGATATATTTGAAGGCCTAAATTTATTAAGCTATGTTAAAAAGCATTGTGTGACTTTGAGGTTAATTCTAGAATATAAATGATATTCCGAGTTTACAGAATTCATTTTACGACACATGGTTGACTTAGATTACATTTTTTCACCAGAAGGAAAATAAAAGTAAGTCTTTGGAGAAACTATCTCTGTTTCTTAGGTATGTATTTACACACACACAACAAAAAAAAAAGAAAACGGTTAAAAATTAAATATTGGACAATAATCCTTGTCTGAGTGTTGAGTGCTAATCAATTTGCTAAATTGCCTGTCTTTTTAAAATTCATTTGTTTTCAAAATTTTACCCTGAATGTGTCACCCAAAATCATTATCGTTTCGTCTCCTGAATTATGGTACTTTTCCTTCCAGTTTCCTGACGTTTGAAGTATCATTTGCCATCTTGATTGTCCAACATTTCATTTTCAGGATTTGTAACATGCAAACTGTTCCAGTACTTCTTTCTTTGGCGGATTCTCTCCATAACAAGTGGTAGTATTTTTTCCGGAGTTGTGATTTTCATTCGCTTCATCTCCTAAGGTGATGTCTTAAGTGCTTGAACTTAAAAGTGAGATTTCAGTAATTTGTAGAAAGTATAATAATTCTGCAAATCTTTTTCTCAACCTACAGTGTCCATCAAAGTTATGAGAATGAATTAGTGGCAGTATTTCGAGACTTCAAATACTGTTGAATTTCGCACTAGTAAAGTAACACCTTATCAGTCATAATTACCTTCATTTGTTTTTCGTTCATGACCTTTTTGGGTGAAGGAATCAGGACTAAAGTTGGTACTTTTAAAACTCGCCTCATTCCAGAAAATTCAGGATTAAACTTTATATCATATGATCCAGGAATATAAATTTGACCTATTTACTCCACTGTATCGTTTCGTGCAATGTTTTTGCACGTGCACTTCATACAAGTCCACATTTTCCAAATTTCATCAACAATTCAATTTTTTGTCCCAGAAGATGCACAGCACGAAACTGTAAAATGATTCATAAAGAAATTTTAATGTTTCGAAACGGAGAATTGAATTTTCACAGGAAAACTTAATGCCAGCAAATCTGCGAGCAATTTTTAACACCTTTTTTTGCTTCCATTCTGATTTCCGAATCTTTTTTACAATCTGTTTTTCCTGAGAAAATTCAAAAGTAACAATCCATTTTTGTCACTCTTCGAAGACAAAATTTCGTGAAATTTCAATGTCATTTTAATTCATTTCGCTTGATGTTTGAATATTTGTTTTTCCACTATAAACCATGCAAACACTTGTATCTTTTCTATTACGCTTGTCTGTTTACAGTGATTAAACAGCAGAAAGTTGACAGTCCACTGATTGAGACTTAAGTAGAGTGAACTGGAGTCAGAAATTTTGAAGACTAGAAGTAGAAAGTCTCCTTTTTAGATTTAAATCCAAGTGTAAGTTATGACTTTTGAAGTCGAAGGAATAAGAAATAAAAATTCTGATCAGTGGAAACTGCGGTTCAGATTATGGAAATATAGCGATTTTTTTTTCTGCAGCGTCATCTTATACAACCGGTAAAACCGATATCAATGACGCAGAACAGTGCTGGTTCCATTTGGAAGTCGATTTTCGCAACAAGCAATGATCAGTGCAACGCATCTCATAACGACATAGCTTCAGGTATTTTTAGAAGTTCAGAAAAGGGAGAGGGAATCATAATATCACTTTTTTTTCCTTCTATTCGTCCCTATTCTCATTATTAATTTTCGGATTCTCATTTCCTTTGATGACAGTCGGGCCGTTTGGGGATTGTGAGTATTCACTATATTGTAAAAAACTTCTCAAATAAGCCTTTACTTAAGAGAGAATTTGTGTTATCGAGAAAAATCGAGTAAAATAAACGGAAGGGTCTGATTAATAGAAAACGTCTTTTGAGTCAAAAGTCAGATAGCTAATTACTACCGAAATGTAAAGTCGTCTCCGACGTCCAGCTATTCCCTGCCAAGGAATCTCTATGTTCATATTTGAGTATTTGATCTCATTTAGTCAAAAACACTCGTAAAACCAACAAAACAAGAAAAAAGAAAAATTTTCATTCATAACTACTGTTTCGGAAACGCATATAACAAAGTTCCTTAGGTAATATTGCTTCCCGCAATGCTACATGGGATTAAAAAAAAAGTGTAATCATCGTATGTGGAGGATTCCTATCTCGAGTAATTTGTGCCAAAGTTAAGGATAAAAGCTAAGGAAAAATTTTCTCAAATCGTGGCGTTGGTTCGAAAGTCGTAGTAGCCCACCACTCATGGATTAGGGATTTGGTAATCATTAAAAATGATTATATTAAAGAGTGGTAATAGAAAGTTAAACTTTGGACTGGGACTTAAAATTGTTCCGCGAGTCCTTTTTGCTGCAATTCTTCTGTATTTTGATCGTTATTTCAAATTTCCTCGTTTTTTTGTCCTTCACATTGCTCAACTATTCAATGATCCGATATTTTCCAAAAATAGAATGTAATCCTCGTCTAGAATTGTGGAGGAATGTGAAGTTGTCTTTGAAGTAAGATATGAGTACTGAGTTCATTGAACGAACAATTCTTGCTAGTAAGGAGAAAAGATTATGCGAGGATTGAAATAGAATGTATGTTTCCATGTTCCTAAAGATTATTCTAATTTGTCGAGCCGTTTGGAAAAAAAAATCCCTTGAGACCGGAGATGAATAATGTTTCTTCGTATTTTTCCATCTCAAGCAATACTGCTTTGCTGTCTGTTCTCTTCACTGGTTTAAAGTTCATTTTTCGTTAACGAAGAATTTTTGAATGAAATAAAAACTTTGGCACTAGAAAAGACTTTGGCTTTTCTTTCCTTCTTCCTTTGAGGGGGTTTTTTTCCACTCATGTCATACAAGCCGCATATTTCATTTCAATATATGTGCGCTTTTTGAAAGTAAATTGACTTAAAAATGGAAACGAAACTGGTTTAAGGCCAGTGGGTGGCGATTAAGGAAGAAGCAATGCAAGACGATTTTTTGGCCTTTTAAATGTAGATACAACAAGGCTTCAGCAGCTATATAAGGCAGTGAAGCTTAAACGAGTTGAAGACAAATTTGTCCAGCCAATATGCTTATATTTAAAACGTGCCGTAGAATTCCTCTACATCGAGAACATTTGGAACACACAATACTTCCTATTTGCTTTCCTTCGCTTCTTAAGTAAAAAGCAGGAAAGCTTCCAAACAATTCCTGAATATCAGCAACAGTTTCCTTTTATTTCTATTTACATGACAGCCAGTGTTGTTGGACGACTTGTCAACGCCATCCATTCAAATGCAGCACCGCCAAAACCAAATTCTTTACTTGTATTCGTCTGCAAGTTAGGTAGAATTTCTTGCATATATTAATATTATTATGTAAGACATTTATTTGAACATCTATTCTTAGATTGCTTTGAATGGAAGGTGATTCAGATTTCAAATATTCTTTTAAAAACTGCAAATTTATGCATGTTAAGAATAAAGAAATATGAGTGTTAAAGTTTTCGTAATGATAATTGTAATTGATTACCGACAAAAGCCTTGAGAAGTTCTTTTTCCGGTTCCAATGTGAAGTTAAATGAGTAAAAAAATAGAAATTCATCATCAGTTCCGGAAATTTAGTTAGAATTACTCTGAATTAATTTAGGTTTCTTTTGAATGAGGCTCCATGTGCTATTTTTTAGAAATTTTTGGAACTGACCCTGTTACAAGTTATCTCTTTAAGCTTGTTTGAATTAGCGTCTTACATTCAACGTTGTCGAACTTTGTTAATTAGGTTCCTTAAATGTCTATCTCTAACTTTATTCCTCGCATTTTTCTTATTTTTTTTCGAGAGATTTGCTTCTGCTCCGCTTATGTATTACATTATTCATTGTAGATCAGTTCTACTATGTTGATGGAAAACTTTTTTTCTCAAATTGACAATTGAATTTCGTTTACAGAAACTAAAATTGTAAAATTGGTATTGTGAGATGGAAATATGATATTATATTTCATTATCTCGAGAACTTTTGTTCTGTATCAGCCTGCCAGATTTTAGGGGTATAGAAATTCTTAGCTCATACACCTCCGATTCATGTACAACTCAAGTTCTTGGTGTGGTAACATTTGCGAGGTCGCATTCATATACCAAATTTTGTTCTGAAATATTGAAAAGCTTCTAGTATTTATAAATCAAATTTATTAGTTTTTTGCATGAATTCGTTTTTTTTTCTCCATTCACAGCAGTTGCTTTTAGCTTCAACGCATCCAAGTGGTTCCGGAGCACATGGTTTTATAATTGATGATGGAACGATTGCTTTATTTCAACCGGAACTTGAAAAACTTCGACATATATTGCATTTTCCCGAGGAATTAGCCTTTCAGGTATTAAAAAAAAGAAAAAAAAAAAACGAATGACTAGATCCATTTCGAAACTACCCCATTTTTTTTCTGTGATTTTTTTCTTCATTTTTTGTTAAAGACTTTGCAAAAGCATTAGAAACAGTTTATTTTAATCAGAAGTAAAATTACGATATCTTCACACAAGAGCGCAATAAAATTTGTAAAAAATTTGGGAATCTTCAAGGTTCTGTATTTTTTTTGAAAAAAAGTGTTTAGAATTAAGGGTCGCATATGATAATGGTAAGTATTCGAAGTTTTCAGTTATCAGCAACCGAATATCAATTATTTTATGAGATACAACCGATGGATTATGTTCATTATGTGAGCTGCGACTTAACTTCAGTACCAGTTGCAGAAAATCCAAGTCCCATTCGAAATCTTATTAAACGCTTGTCTGAGGTGTGTGTTGCTTTTTTTAAAGTTCTTCCTCATCCGCCTCTCATCACTTATCCATTGCTTTAACTGAACTTGTAACATGAAGGAACAAAATATGTTGTGCATGAATAACATATTGAACAAGTTTATTACCATCAGCAACTTTATAACATCTATAAGGAAGCTCCGAATTGAAACAGTTTTCAAATTATTGATAGAGCGTAACTTTTGCATAATTTCAAAGAAGTTTTATTTTCGGCGAATGCCCAATTTCTCATATTTTGCAAATCAAAAATTCCAATTATTCGACTGTCAACCGACAAGGCAAATTTTTATATTTTTGAAATTTGCTTGGTATACATTCGACTGTTAAGATAATTAGAAATATCAACACTTTTTCAGTTTTTTGAAGATTCCATTTTTCAGATAAGTTCGTGGATAACCCATCTTATAATTAGCATGCCAACTTCTGAGGAACGAAAAACAATTCTTACTTCCATTTTCCGAATGATCGATACGTGCTGGAACATTGGTTAAATTTTTATACAAATTTATGACTAGCGTTGACCTTTTCCAAATATCTTTTTTTATTTTCCTGTCCGAATTTCGAGATGATTCCCGTTTCAAAATTATACTTTATCATTGACTTTTAAAAGCCTACACTAAGAAAAAAAGCACTTTCTTTTGAATGAGGAATGGGTTATAAAAAATTGTTAGGAATATTTGTTAAAGCATTCAAGATTCAATAAATTCTGATATTCGGCAACAAAACCCTCAAATGTTCTATATTTCTAAGTTTTGATTAGTGTTTTTTAATATTTTAGATTCAATTTGATGTAACGTTGAACTATCTGGATTTTCTTCATCTTTTTAGAAAAGATGTTTAACAAAAAATTTATATTTGTATGTATGTGTGTGTGTATGCGTGTACGTGTGTCTACGTGTGTATGCGTGTGTGTGTGCTTTTTGTTTAAAAAAATAATTAGGCTGAAAAGGAAATCTGAAATGTGGAATAAAAACAAAGGGTGTCATCCATAAATTTTACCTTTGGTCCCAAGGTTTTTTAGATTTTCAGGATAAGTTATGTTTCCTCTTTTCATCTTTAGGTAATTTCAATGCAGCTGTTGAAATTCTGGTGGGATTGAAAAGTGAAAAGTTGCGATCATTTTGGTTATCGTTGAAACCTGAGGAAAAGAAAAAATACGAACAGGTCATTTATTGTGAAATTTTCCATATCAACGGATTTTCTTCTTCAGATGAAATTCTGGCTCTTTATCTCGAAAGTCCTAGTTGGAAAATTCCCCTGCAAATTTATGATTGACGAGAAATGAGGCCTGGTGATCGCTAATCAACCCCTGTTTTATACTCATCTGATGACAACTACTCTTTACCTTGAAGTATTCGTCATTTGGCTTCATACTACTGCAGAAATTTGTGTTTTGGTATAGTTTTTGCTTGACCAAAAAAAAGAAAGAAACTACAATGTCATGTAAAATTTATAGCTTTGTGATGTCCTATTACCCAGTAATCAGACAGCTTTATCGACTACTTATCGAGAAGCGATTCAAAGAGGTTTACGCATGCCACAGTGCAAGCTGATTCCTTTTTTCGGTGTCTTCTTGCGTGACCTATATGCTATAGTAAACGATATGCCAAGCGTTGTGATGACTGTTGATGCAGATGATAAAGACGAGCTTGAGGTATCCTCCAATGCTGATTCGAATAAAGAGATAATACCAAATTAAAGAAATATAATTTCTGGAAAAATTTTTTAATGCTTTTTGTAGTTTATGAAAGAACAAACTGACGACAGTTGTTGTGCGTCCGAAATTGGTGTTAGTGGTTTGTTAAATGCTGATAAAATCAGTCTAGTGGCTGTGGTACTTGATAATTTGGAATTGTTTTATCATCATTATAAAAATATACCATGTTTTGTTGTGGATCCTGCCGGACCAAGTATTGGGAAAGAAAATCCAAAACCCAAGGTATGTTTACAATCGTAATTTTTCAAACAGTTTTAAAAAGAAAACACGAACAAAAATGAACATATCTGAAGTTCAAGAGATTTCGATCTGTGAAGTAGTAGGTTTTCAGGGTTATGACCCAGTGGAACCGGTAAAAGGTATTGTAAGAAATGCTACTTTGGTACCTCTGGATACGAATCGTTTTGATCTGGATGTAATCCAGCGACTTCATCATGGTACCACAGTCATTCATTGTGACCCATATGCAGGTCGCAGCGCACTTTGTATGCTGAAATTGGATGCCACTTGTGGCTTGTTGTCATGGTGTAAAGTTGGTTATTTGGGAACGAAGGAGATAAAAGACAAAGTATTTTCTAATCTGGTGATTTTAATTAAGGCCATTGAACGAGAAATTTTTCATTCAAAAAACTTTGCAGATTTCTGGGAAATTTGCTCTGGATGTGCATGGAATTCGCTGGTTATGAATTCGTGTCTTTCAAATGTTTTGATGTGATGTGGAAGCCGAAGCCCTCCTTGTTTGTCGAAAAGCTTCCATCCTAATTTATGAAAATAGCTTGAATGCATTCCAGAATGCATATATCCCATCGGTGGCACGAATGCAAAGCGCAAAACCACAAAGTATGACACCACTGGAGAGTCGCAATCCTCCTTCATCACCAAGTTTTCGACCAGCCGGAGCTGCCTGTACTGCACTGGAATATGGCTTTTTAAATCTTTCCTATGTCAAGTCCATTGAAAATATTGACTCACACGACATCGACATTGAGGTTAAGTCACTGTTAAAAATTAACAAATTAAGATTTCTCCCCTTAAAATACGTTCCCAAGTCTAGTCAAGGTAGCAGTGAACAGTGGCTGGCAGCAGAATACGGGTGTTGAAAAACAGTAGATGAATCTGAGGATGTAAAAGGAAAAAAATGCTAATTAACTTCATTATTTTTGGATATCTTTGTATTCGAAATGGCTCGCATGAAGCATTCGTCATTTTAAAAGGCTGTTTTACAGAGCATTTATCGACGCCACAGCAACGACGAAATGTCTGTGCAAATGCACTGTTGGAGAATAAATTTTGGTTGTTATTTGTCTGACAATGAATTTCTGTACTTTATCGCACCAGAGAAAAGCGCCCAATGCTGGATAACTGGGCTAACAACTGTATGCTTTTAATTTAGATTAGGTGTAGTCCGGTGAAATGTTTGAATTTTAATAAATTGAGGAAACATTTTAGTGATAAATTTCATGCTTATCTTATTCATGTTTATCTTATTAGTGATAAATTTCATGCTTGAGAAACGTAAACTTTTTGATGTTCCTCTTTTTGATTGAACTGAAATCAGAGCTCTACAGTTACTGTAAATACAAATGAGAATTTATAAAAAAGTATCCTAAAGTTTGCTCTTTAACTTTTTGATAGCTAATCTTTTTCAGATTGTAAACTACTTACTGGAGCAACAGAAATGCGCAGATCGACGAGTCCTATGGCTTAAGAAGCTATATTTACAACTGTGCACTAATTGCGAACATGATAGCGTCATGGACGAAGGCATTATATCTAGTCTACGGCCTTATAAAGCTCTCCAAGCTTTCGGTGGCCAAACCGAAGGGTGGGAGGATTCAGGTATCACTAGAATTACTAGATGAGTATCTTGAATTTTATATATTTTTGATAATTTGTTGGTATGTTCGAAGATGCGCCAAGTATTCGCTTTTTGTTAGGTTTGCAAAGTTTCGTTACAAAACCACTTCAATCGGGAACGATTCGTTCTGCAGAAGTTACGGTGGGAAAAGGTTGTTTAAAACAAATGACAAATGCAGTTACGCGACGAATGAAATTCGTAAGTCGTGGTAGTGCTCATCCACAAAGTCCAGAATCAATGAAGGTGCTTTAAATATTCAAATTTTGAGATGATGTCAATTTCTGAATATTCTGAACTTTGAACTTCTTCGGACTTTGTATCATAATTTCATGACAATCCTCCTGTTTTTCAAAAAGCTTAGATTTTCAGGCACAGTGCCAGTCACTACGAAATTGCATAAGTGGCCAACAGTGGACGATATCAGATCCAAATGTACCAAAGGCGATATCGAAAAAACGTGACAGTTCTTCATCAACTGATACTGCTAGTCTTCCCTCCTGGTACAAATCCAGAAGGCTATCAGCAAGAGCATTAGCTTCTTTCTGGTTTGGGAAAATAAAAAAGTGAGTTGATGATAGCTTCCAAATTATTTAAGAATATATTTTGGAATATTAGAAGAATTTTGTATTGCGGACGAATCTCGTCATTATTCAACTACTTCCTTCCTACATACGTACAGCTAAAAATTGATTAATTGTTTTTTTATATATGAATATCCGAAAAAAAAAGACGGAAGGTTTCTAAATTACTGCTATTTCTTTTTTAATAGAACAAAAGGTCTCGAAGACGCAAGTGAAAGTCCAACTGTCTACAAGGAGTTTTTGGTGTCTTCGAAATCCTATGAAGGAGGATATTCAGAGAAGCCAGTAACATTATTCGAATTTATTGAACTGTACAAATTATTTTGTGCGAACATGCGAACAGATTTAAAGTAAGCTCATCCATGGAAAATATGTTTTGAAAGAATTAAATTCTTATGAAAATATATCAACGATAATAATTGTGCTGGTTTTTTTTTCTAGAGACATTTTCAACGATTTCCTCGTGATGTCTGGAGGTGGCAATGGAGGTGTAGCTAAGCATGAACGAAATCCAAACTTTGTACTAATGGAACCATCGCTTTCGGATACTGAGTTTATACCAAACGGTTCATAATTCAACATAAACATCTGGAGAAAAGGAAGACGACGAAATTTACATCGAAAATCATACTTTAATATATATCAACATTCATATACCGTGATTTTCCCTGTCCATATCTCTTATCTGTCCGAGCAGAACTGTTTAATAACATTTTATACGTTTGCTTGCAGATATCCTCACAAGGAATACTTTGACAACTCAGAACATTGATGGAAAGCAACAGAAGGTGTACAACGCACTAGCTCTTGCTAGTTTAAATAGGTGTTTTTTTTTCTTTTTAAATCGAAATTGATTATTGCTTTTTTGGGAATATGAAAGATCCAAGTGAATTGAAGCATTTTTTTTACTACTGAACTATTACAGCGCGATTGTAAAAATGTATTACTTCAATTCTCCAATATAATTCAAGGAAAAAATAGAGGAAAAAGGTAGAGGGAGTGGTAATGAATGCCTAAATGTTTAGAAATATCGAAAAAATCCTCATAATTTATAGTACAGGTGTAAAAAACTCCCACAGTTTTCTCGTGATTAACTGACCTTCTTGATGCAGTTTGAACTTTCAAAAAATTTTCGTAAAGAGCACATTATTACAGTACGGTCCTAACGAATGCATCATTTCTAACTCCCACAATGCTGAAACAATTTCTTGCAATACATCAAATGGAAATTGTGGATGAAGATTATGCTATGAAGATAATACAGGTTTTTATAATGAGTTAATGAAAGATTTCATGAAATATCGTTTATTGCATAATTTCCAATCGAAAACTTTCATTGCTTCCAGGAACACGAACCGGATCCAGCTCATCGAAGTAATCAGCAACTTTCATTTGGAGGATTTGTGCGCTACATGACAGATCCAACAAATTATGCATTTGTGCCTGAAGTAATCAAACCTGATCAAGATATGCTTCATTATCCGTTAAACTATTACTATATTTGCTCAAGTCACAATACTTACCTCACAGGTCATCAGCTGAAAGGTGAATCATCCACTGAAATGTATCGCCAGGTTGGATTTCCGTACACATCATCAATTCCTCTATTTGCTCAAATCATCAGCAACAAAATCAAAAAAATTCATGGATGATGCATTTCTTTTACATAAACCAGATGAACACTCCTCATTGTTTCATTCAAATTTGTTAGATTTTGAAGTTGAAGATTATGAATACTTGTCTGCACACAATTAAGTAAAGTTCCCCATAAATTTTGCTTAAAATTATAGGTGCTATTGACAGGCTGTCGCTGTGTTGAATTAGATTGCTGGGATGGTGAAAACGGCTTACCTCTAATATTCCATGGTCATACTTTGACATCCAAAATTGGTTTTCGTGAAGTACTCAGCGTTATCAAAAAAAGTGCTTTCACTACTAGCAATTTGCCTCTTGTTTTGTCAATCGAAAATCATTGCTCACTTCAGCAGCAAGCAAGAATGGCCCAAATGTTTAAAGTTCGGTTTCGACGCTTCTGAACTCGATTTAAAAAAATTCACTTTGCTTAATATTTCATTTGAAGGATCTTTTTTTTAATTTTTTACTCATGCATGTTTTCAGAATTACCTCGGGGAAAAACTTGTTACATATTTTTTGTTCGAAGCTGACTATAGTAATTCTCCACGACTTCCATCACCATGGCAGTTGCAGAATAAAATTTTAATTAAAAACAAGAAAATGATCGCAGAACCAAGTGCTGGACTACGAATGGATAAATACTTCGCCAGAAATGGAGGCGATCCAATTCTGGAGCAGACCGAGTTTGTATACTTAATGAAATAACTTATCCCTTTAATTGAAATCACTTTTCAAAGAAATAATGGATGTGTAAAATTTACAGTGGATTTTATGGAATAGACGAAGATGACTTTGAAGAATTTTATGATGATCTAGATGACGAAGAAGCTGGTCAGTAACATTTTACTGTTGATTCCATATAAACTCCTAAACTTCTCAAGCGATATAATTCATAACTATTTCGATGTTATGCAGATTCGGAAAGTCCGAGGGTAACAAACCGATTATCAAAAGGCACGCCACTTCAATCATCCAGTGAAGCTGAGGAGGAGCACAAATACGTTGTGTCCAGATTAACGCATGTGGTTTGCATAAACTTTTAAAACTTTAGACGACCCAAATGTTTTAGAAGTACTTTTGCTGCAATAATATTTCTGAAACACGGATCGGAATTCCAAAGGCTACATAAACTTGTAAAAATTTTAGTTTGCATACCGTACATCATTAGTGATATGAATCTAGTATCTGATTTGTTTCATTTTTCGTTCTTAGCGAGCTGGACTAATTTGCCACCGATTTCATAGAATTGACTAATCTAATTAGTCTATAGTTCATGCGTGCAGCGTAAATAACATCATTCTCTCTGGTATATGACTTGTTTGTGATATTCTTTGTGTAATTCTAGACAAGCGCAACATTCGACTCGAAAACAGATGATGAACTGTTGTCCGTTAATGCAGAAAGAGTGATGCAAAGACCCATTAAGAAAATACCAGGACCTCCAGTTGCACCTGAGTTATCGGATCTAGTAAATTATATGCAAGCTGCAAAATTCAAGGTAAAGTTAACCATTTGGTGACGGCCACTTAAGCTTCTCTCAGTACAGCTTTACGTTCAACTCTGATTTTCAGTCTAGCAATAATTTTGTCTGTTACAGGGTGATGTAAACAGTTGATATCACTACTTGAGGTTTTTATAACAATACATATATCTCACTTAATGTCATTTAACGACGAAGAGAATTTACCAGGGTTTTCCTGGCACGGTTAGTTTTTTTCATCGACGAGAAGAATCTGTCAAATCCTCGATGCCGAGAATGTCTGGAGCAGGTTCTAATTTATTACCAATATCAACTCCACCACGACGGTTACGGAATGCCACATTATCTGATGGAGAAAATAAATGGAAATCTAGCGAGGATACTCGGTTTTCTTCTACTTCATCGTCGAAGCCCAATAGTAATGCATCGTGCTATCAAGTTACATCACTTAATGAATCATCCGCCCGGAAACTTTCAAGGTGATTGTTACAATTTCAAAATGAAAAATTTATAATAGCTCATGAGCTTAAATATTTATAAACTTGCAGTTATCCATAAAATTTATAAAATTACAATTTTGAGGAAAATAGCTGAGCATTTCAGGAAACACCCACTGAAATTTATCGCTTATTCACGTGAGCAGATTGTTAGAACGTATCCTGGCGGTATGCGCATTGATTCTTCCAACTTCAATCCAGTCCAATATTGGGCATTTGGTTTGCAAATGGTTGCTTTGAATTTTCAAACCACTGACACAGCAATGGCCGTAAATGCAGCAATGTTCGAACAGACTGGGAATTGTGGATATACTTTGAAGCCGAGGGTTTTATGGGACGATTCCCATCCATACTATAATCGTTTCAATCCGCTCGGTAAAGATACTACTTCAATATCCGCGTTGCTTTATACAGTTACGGTAAATTTTTGCTCGTTCCTTGTTCTAATTGATCGTCATTGTCTTTGGAGAAAATCTTGACAAATCAGATAACTATACGAAGAAAAATAAAATTTGTCAGTGATCAAACGTTATCTGTCCCTCTGGATTTTTCGTCATGAACAGCTAGGTTTATCCTTAGACTATACACAGGATGCCTGATTCACTGTGCAAAGGACATTAACTGAAGAAAATGCTTCCCTTATGGACAAAAGTTTGGAAAAAAAAGCATAAATTATGGATTAAGCGGGCAATAAACAGCATAAATGAAAGTGAATGGGGAAATTCTCAATCAGTCGAAAACGGTCAATATTTGGAGAAGAAATGCTAAAATTTAGTCCTAATGACTTTCAGCAGAAAGTTCAGGAAACTGCTTTTGATTGAAACTTGAGTTCAAGAGTCTATCTTTCCTCCATGGATTCGTTCACCTATCCGATAACAGTAAACAATTTTAAAGTTACGTTCCGTGGACAGATTGTACATGCATTAAAAATGTCACACAATAATTAAGTTTTTTGGTCATTTCTTTATGCTAACATCCGAATTTGATTGTTTATTCCCTATCTCTTTAGATAATATCAGGACAGCATGTATGCCCAAACCAACATAGCGCTTCAACCTATGTTGAGGTGGAAATCATCGGAATACCAGCAGACTGTGCCAAAGAGAAGAGTAAAACAGTAAGCCGAAATTCAGTGAACCCAATTTGGAAACACACCTCAACATTCCGGATCGCTTTTGTTTATCTGGCTTTTTTGCGAATCTCTGTCTGCGATAACACAAGTGGAAGGTATCTCTTTTCCACATTTTTTTTAGCAGATATGAAATTCCAGTGTATCGAAATCAAGAAATATATGTATACTTTATTAGATGTATGGCACAACGAGTGGTTCCTGTGCGCTGTATTCGGGCAGGATATCGTCATCTCCCATTACGAACACCCACCAATGTACCGATGGAGCAGGGAACCATATTTTTGTATTCACATTTTGAACAAGAAGAACATATCTATTTGCATGACGAAGACAGTAATTTCAACTGTAATACTGATCAGCAGTTCCATCCTCAGACGCTCAATATCTCTCCGGTTCGTCTTTGCAGGATAAGTATCACTTCCAAAGTTGTTAGTATTTCATTGATCGCAAATACTTTAAAAATAAAGTCAATCGTTTAAGACGGCAACGGTAAAGGCAGTTCCCATTCTCAAACGACAGATTTTCGTTCTACGAATATCGGGCTTATATAATGACGATACACCAGTTATTGTGCATGCTGAATCATTCAGCACAGTGAGGAATGTCGTGCAAATGGTATGAATGCTAGTTAGATTTATTTGTATTCAGTCGAGCTTATGTAGTTTTCTGTTTTGATTTAGCCAAGTTAAATTTGTACCTTCATTTAGGGTAACAGATTCTGGCATAATACCGTACACCAACTTTTTGTAGGCACTCACAAATGTGGGAAAAAATGCGGACACAGCTGAGGAATATGTTTTGATTGAAGTAAACAGCAATGAAATGCTGAGTAACAGTGGTGAACAGCAAAACATGCAATCCGGGCATCGTATTTTACCATTCAAAGAACTGATCATGAATTTTGTTGCATGCTGGAATGGTTCCATGCGACGTTTCGTCATCAGGAAAAAAGGAATGGCGAGTTTATGTTTTATGACAGAGTTGCTAGTGAAATCTTATAAAATTCGCTTCTAACTTTTAAATTCTGATGTGAAGTAGTGGACTTCCAATTGATTTTGGGAAACAAATGACTTTTCGATATTTGTTCCAGGATCCTAGCGGTAGAGCTTGGATTAGTTCTATAATCAAGGGTGGCGTGGGAACACCGCTGTCACTGTCAACGATTCAGTCACCGCCTTGCGCTCAATCTCCATCGGAGAGAAAAGCAAATAATCGTTCTTTAGGGCAACACGCTGTACTTCATAGAATAAAATCTTTGGATCGAGATGTTTTTAGCGAAAGGAAGATTATAACTGGTAATATCTTTTGCAGTTTTGAATTTCTTAAACTGCGTAGTTTTCTGTGATTCGAACGGTTCATTTTTTGAAATCAATAAAAAGCTTCAGTTTGTATTCAGTTATTTCGTTTTTAAAGTTTATAACCTATTCTTTATAGATTTGCGTCCACTCACGCGTACTATGAACGAAACTTTTCTGGTATGTGTTCATAACGTTAGCAGAGATCAACCATATGTTATTCTTCGACCGAGTATTTACAGCACGGCCAATGATATCATCAAAGAAGTACCTCGTAATTTGCATTTGAGAGTACTGAAGTAAGAAAGAGAAAGTCCCAATAAAAAACAAGTTGAACACGAACTCAACGAATTGAACTTGGCATGATCTTAACTCGAAAAGTAGGGGAAGACATGTTCTAGAATGCTTCAGGCATGAGGAGAAAATACTGCTTGTTATGACTTTTTGTCTTTTTGACGCTTCAGTGGAATTTAGAATCCTTAGTTTGTACTTGGCTCAGACAATCGTACTCATCTCAGTTCTTATCCAGAATCATAAATGAGATAGAAACATTTAACACAGAAAAGAAAAGCGGAAGTAGTAAATACGGCCGTCTAACTATGAACCGTTGCAGGGGAAGTGACCCGGTTATCATCTGGTCATTAATACGATATCTTATCAACATACAGAAGGGAAAAAGCTTTTTTTACCACAGCACTTTCACAAACGTTTTTGTGAAGGGAACAAAGAGGGAGGCGAAGATGGTTTCGTAGAAAATAAGAATTTGGATAGCTTGCTAGCTTAGTGGGTATAGTAGAAAAATCATATAGCATTGTTAGCATGGGAATTCTTGTAATTTGTAGAAAAGTGTTAATTGGCAAAGCTTACAGTTCAATTTAAAGCAATACTGATCCTGTTTTTGGAGTATCCGTTGGTTTCATATTAGACGAGATGTATGTCTGAAGTAAGTACACCAGTTTATTACGTACATCAGTCGAAAATTTGACAAATTACAGCTTGCCCGTTTTTCGAATTCTTTTTAAGGTTTTCTTGAAATCACGACAAACGAATGTCACTGAATCAGAATATGTGCTGGTTGAAGAAACAGTGAAGGAAACAAAATCAGCTCCAATTAGACCGCTGAAGTCGACCGTCTCTGGAAACATTACCTTATTCGGAGAGAAAAGTGCTGAGGGTTAGTTGATCGCTGTACTAAAATTTTTTAGAAAGAATGAGGTGTAGTATATGATATAAATTAGCAAAAAAAAGGAAATTTTGTATCCCGCTTTTACAGCAATTTACCCATATTAGTGACATATATTAAAAGCATTAGCATTTGTAACGATTATAATAAATGTAACTCAAATATGCAAAAACTATTACAGTTGCAAAACCTTTTGAGTATAAAAGCGTCTCTATGCGAGTGCTGGCATCGAATGAAATTGTCTGGAAAGCGCAAAGTGCATGGAAAACATCTGGACGTTTCATACTGGAAAATCGAGAACATACCATTCATTCAACTAAAGAAAAAATGAGAAGTTTGTTGCAAGCACTCGAGAATGCGCACATGGGTTCATCACCATCCATTAGTCATTAAGAAACTGTTGACTTGAATAATTTCGTTCATCTGAACAATTTTGCTCAATTTCTATATTTTTCTTTCAATTCATCAGAATTATCCCCCATCTACGTGCTGCATAACGTAATGTTTTCGTTGAAAATTTGCTTGGACCAAAGTTTTGACTTCACTCAGTGAAGGGAATTATCTCTAGAAAGAAGCTGTCGATACAGACCTCAGAAGGAGATTGCGTGTTCAGATACATTAGTTTTTGTCATCGGATTTTTGGACTTTCTCTTCGTTATTGCCGTGCAAAAATTGTCAAACTCTATCGTAGGTAGAAATTCCATTTATGTTCTAGTTTCTTAATCTTCGTCGACTCTTTCTTTACTTCACTTTGATGACATCCTCTTTGATGACATGTGTACGGACAAAAACGCCTGATCAAAAATACTGGTAAAAATTTTTGTGACATCTGCTGTTACATATTTTTCTCATATTGTGTAAACTGCAGTATCACTTCAAGATGTTTCTCTACTGTATATCCTTACTGACATTCCAAAAAATGAGAGCATTATTTCTTGTTATTCTTAGGTAGGAAACCCTGGTGATTAGCATCCATTTCCAATCCGAACTTCTAGAATTTGCTTTCAATTACATGCGGTCATCCCCCTTAATAATATTACCATAAATCAATCATGATCTCATTCTCTTCATAATTCTATTTCGGTCAGAAACTTCGAGATTTTCCCTGTGACATTGTGACATTGTAATCATTGAAAGATTGTAATCATTGAAATGATTTTTCCTGTGACATTGTAATCATTGAAAGAACAGAAATGCAAAAGTTCAATATGGATGGTTGACAAGAAAACCTATTTTCAAGTCGTACGCTCGACATTGGTGCAGTTATCATCTCCCGATATCTTGATGTATGTTTTAAATTCCAAATAACAGTAATGCTTCTAAGGTTCAAGTTCCTCTTTGCTTTACGTTTCCTTATATTCCTTTCGTCTAATGTCGGCGATAATCTAGAAACTTCCAAACTTTTCCTAGTTGAAGGCTGATATTTATAAGCACAAGCTCATTTTTCTACAACTTGATCATATCGATTCAGCATGGTGATTTTCCCTTTATCATCCCTAATAATTTCTATTGTATGGAAAGCATGAACTGAACAGGAAGAAAAAGGCATTTATAAGAATTGAGATAAAAATTCAATACAATGAGCAATGAAAAATTTCCACTAAATCTTACTGGTTCCAAATGACGATTACAGCCTAATAGTGTAAATACGCAACACCAGCGGTTTCTTTCATGAAAATCGTGATTATAAAATATGGTACATAATGCATGGACCATGCTAACAGTCATCGATATCTTTGTGTTGCATTACAATATTGGAATTTTAGAAGTAAACTCTCCTGAAGGGGCATACTTTAAGGTGATACTCCTATTGGTAGTGATTTGTGCATAGGTTCATAGGCCTTCATAGATAAATATCTTGCCTGCTGTGCTATGCGAAGAACAAGAAAAGCGGGAAATGATGCAAATCTTCGAAAGACGACTGGAAAATAGGACAAAAAAGTGTAGCGAATGGGGGCACCAGGAAGGACAAAAACAAAACACCTCCAGAATTGAGATACAGGACAACTTTGATTTTACCGCTGCGTAGTTTGATTATGCAATAATATCTGTACAGTTTTTCAGAAATTTCAGAATTCCGAGAAAAGGGGCACATGAATAATGAACAGATCGAAAAGCTTTGCCATATATTACTGTGGAAGATGAAAGCAGAATTTTCTTCAAGGGAAAGATGCTTGACTAAAATTTGACAGCATTCCGAACAGCATTAAAACCAGTACCCAAATATCCCTTCCAGAAATTAATTATTACTGGGGAAATTACTGCCTTCTATTCGGAAGAGGTATATCTTGTTGAAGTGAAGAATTCAAAAAATGGAAATGGGCAGAGAAATACCTAAAATGGGGAAATTTTTAGAACAATAATACGACATATGCACTATGATGAATCGTAAATGTTCTCATCATCCTCTGTCTGCTCTATGACGCAATCGTTCAATTTGATTCGGAATGATTTTGTCTTTGGATCCTGAAAAATAATGAAGGACTTCAACATTTTTCTGAATAACATTCTTTCATAAAATCCGGTCCTAAATAATCTTGCCGCTTGGTAATGTCCATGAAATCCACTTTCTTCCGCTAAAAAATCCACTAAAAAATATTTACAGTTGGTCAATTCCCCTACGATGATGACAGTGGAAGGAATGCTCTGTTCCTCTGTTAATAAATCAAGAATCTACAAGCTTTTTAGAGAATCTGTTAATCTATAATAATGAAGAACCAAATTAAAAAGATTATGCCTGAGGTCCATTGCTACATAAAATTATGGCTCAAAGAAATGGCAGATAATAATTTAATGTAGGCAGTAGCACTAGTCAGGAAAGTACCACGATTCCTTCTACCCTTTTTAGAAGTACTAAGAGTATGATAGATACAACTAACCCTAACAGTAATTTGTGTATCCACCAAATTAATTTTCAAATTCGACGGAACACTAGTCTTTTGATCATCATATATGAAAGCAGAAAGGTGCATCAGAATTGTATCATCAAGTGTTGCTCGAAATCCCTCAATCTGCACCTGGAATACCATTTTGAAACTGTCACGAGTATTAGGTGAATCAACAAAACTCATTTTTCAGCACCAGTTAGTGCGGACACATGCGTATGCTTACACCTTTTCTCCAGTGGAACGAGTTTGCCTAACACAAGCCTAGTTTACGTGTAGATGTACAGAGATCTCAAAATTTAATCGGTTGAGATCTGTACATTTCACTCACTTTTCAACCATAATAAACTACTATTAAATGATATGAAGACGACAAAAAACAATGATCAACTTCAGAGTTAGCTGGAAATAATTTATAAAATTTTCAAATTTGAGGTTTCATGTTGAAAGTACTTGCTTTTAGGCCTACAAACTTGAAAAAGGACTGCAAGAAGAACAAATTTTCATGAAAAAAGACCAACTTTTATCGAAGGAGGTTGCCCATCGGGTAGTGAATAAAATTGAAAATTAACGGTAGTTTTACCGTTATTCACCACAGCATTTCCAATAAAATCGTGACTTTCTTGACTATTTATTGCCGCATAAATGTCATCCAATTCCCTTTTGAAAGACTGCTGAACTGCAATCCTGTAACTTGGAAGCATAGAAATTTAACGGTGCAGTATACTCGTATATACAAAAACAGGCATTCGAAATATAATGCTGTGAAATGTTTAACTCGATTATGAAGATGTTTCAACTGTCCTTCATAATTTGAAAATCAAATGACAAAAATCTGCATTTTTCAAAATTTACTTCGTAATGTAACCAGCTCCCTGTGAAGCATTATTGAGCGACGATACCACCACAATCAGGTCGTTCAATGTTGCAGAAACAACGTTCACCTACAAATCAGCTCACAAAATCTCACCCAAAAATTCCTACTTTGTAATTAGATTTGGTGAATAATTTCAAGAAATTAAAGATCCATACTGAATTTAAGCTTACAAAATTCTATTTGTGAATATTTATATCTGAACTCTAATAATGGTTCATGAAATTACAACCTGTTGTTTCAATTCTTTACATGTTTTCTTCGGCTTCAGCATTATTTCATCAGCAAAGACTTCTTCAGCAATAACAATTTCTTAACAGAGAAAATGACTAATATTAAATAATCAGAAAAAACACATATAGCAGGTTTTTTAATATGATCGTAGTTTTTCATCTTCAGAGTAGCTTTTTTTTTAATTTTATATACTTTCAAACAGTACCTATACTTTTCACTTGCCATTCAAAATCATGTAAAAGTAAATTTAGAAGTATGTAGCAAGTATAAAACACAATTCTGTATAACCTTGCAAAATTTCCATTTTCCAAATGAATTACTACCAAACGGATACTTCGCAGACCGCTGCGAAAACAGAGAACGAAACCCAGTGTTTCTAACAACTCTCATCTCTCAGCATCTTTGAGACTTGAATTACTTCATTTTCACTAGCACTCAATTTTTAATGTAAAGTAGAAGCTTACCTTCTGTAAAAATGTCATCGTCAACATTGAACAGCATTAACTGTTGTTCCTCTGAAATGTTTGTTGCAACCGATATTGTCTCGTCTTCGGCACTAACTAATTCTGTAAGACAAATTTCTTTTTTAGAATATTTGCTCTTAAAAATTTGAAAAAAATATTGGAATTATAAATAATGGCAGAAAATCCGAAATATCAGTAACTACCACTTTTCCATTTTTCATTAGCCGTTCATGTAAAAGTAAGTTTAAAAATATGTAACAAGTACAAAACACAGTTTTATATCATCTTGCAGAATTCTCGCTTTCCAAACGGATTGCTTTCATTTCAGTCTGTGTAAAAAGACAAAAAGTAAAATTGGGGGTTTATAATATTATTATTATAATCGGTACATTTTACGCTATGTACCGCCAGTATTTTTCCAACAAATTATCGATTTTAATCCTTGGAGTTTAACCACTTTTTTCCATTGCTGTTTCATAAGAAATCAGAAAATGAAAATATCAAACAAATAAAATATAAAACGAACCACTATCTATTTGTTGTGAGAATTCCGGAAAGCCTTCCTGATTTTCATTTCGGAATGCTGTTGCTGCACCTACACTACTCACTTCCTGCTCTGGAGTATAATCAGCTAGCGACAAACATGCCGGACGTAACCTCTCGTTTGTACCTGGAACTACTTACTAATAATGACACAATATACAGACAAACAAAATAAAATTTTCAAAATTTAAGAGATTATTAAAGCGATATTTGTAACTCACATTTTCTAAAAATTGCTCCTTAGAGCCTTGTATAAAATGATTGATGCCGTACAGGAAAGCAAGAAACAAATCAAAGAGATTCCAATGAAACTGATAACAAAGGTTAAGCTTGTCCTACAGTGGACCAAATAAAATCACATTATTACAGTGCCTCTGCCAAATTTAAAGACAGTGAGCTTGGAAGCAATTTAATAAATCACCCGAATGAACCAAATGAAATCACCTAGATACAGAAACTGAAACTGTAATATGCTCTCCAATAATATGTCATGTAGTCGCCACAGAAACATTTCCTCTCACATAAGTAACATAATGGTTCAATTTTCAGTCGGAATCATCAAACCTACCTTTTCCAAACATTTTCTATCAATAAGAAATCTGACTCGTTGTTTTTAAAACAAACCGAAACTGACCCAAGTACAAATATATAAACTCCCTAATGAAGGAAACCTAGATGAAGCAGCTAAGAGAAGAATCAAGTCATCCACTACTTTACCCAATATTTTTAAATTAACTGGCAAATCTACAGAAACTTTACACTAACTTAAAAGATCCCAATAGAATAAGTTAAAAAACAAAAACAATTAAAATCCAGTAATTTAAAATGTAGGGGTTACAGTACATTTCATTTAATGATGGTTTAACGAACAGGTGAATTAAACGGAAATCTGTTTTAAAATTGTAAACTTATGGGAGTATCAGTACAATAAGCTGAAGAGGTTTCAGAGATCGAGATTGTTTCCTTATTTTTTTTCATCTCTTAACATCAGTAAAAAATTCAATTTTCTCCGGGAGATGAACTAAAAGGAAAAAACCCAGTGCTCAGTAATGCTTGAATCAGCGAAATAGAGCCACTTTTAATTTAGCATGTAATGAAAAGAAGTGAAATGATTATTTTGAATAATGTTTATCCATTTCAATCGTATCTGATGCCTATTCTCTCTGCCATAATATTTACAATAGGACTCATGGTTCCAAAAAGGATATGATGTCGAGAAAGATAAAGTTTCTTTTTGAAAAAAAACTGCAGACAACGTTCCAATAAAACCAGCAATCACTTTCACACTGAAATATCTGTATGTACTGTAATAACTTTGAAAATGAATGTTACAGTAATCTTCACAAAGCCATTAATTGAAACTTCTCAGAGAAATCGAGGGAATTAATTTTTTGACTGATGTTACCTTCCTATATCAATCTTTGCAATTCATATCAGAACAAATATGGAATTATAATCGATGATTATTGTGAATGAATTTGCACATTCAGATATAATCGATTTTCATGCTATGTTAAAAATTATCGCTGTTGCTTTATTGCTGCGCAGTTATTTCTGCATTTTTCAGGCATGATTTGATGGAAACGAATAAGTAAAGTAAATGCATTTGTAGGAAAAAAGTCAACCTGCAATAAAATAATACAGATAGTAAATTAATTTAAACGTTTGTCGAAATATGAATTCTAACTTCCTTTCTTTTTCTCTCAAAAGTTTGTTAGAACTTCTCTGAAGTGACAATTTTTTTCACAACAGCTAATATTTACAATTGGATTGCATACGGTACAATTTTATTGTCCGGATAAGGCTGGTAAATGGAGGACTTGTTTAAATGTGAATGTAAACTCTCTTACAGAAGTTGAATAACGGTGACGTAAGTTGACAAGCTTGTAGAGTGGTTTGCACAACGATTGGATTGTTGTGGAGCAGAAGTATGTGAAGTGCAGACACGATCAGACTGATTGTTTTCTTTTCAAAAACTGTGGTAATCAATTCGATTTCCTCGATGTGATGTCAGAGCGATGATATCATCAAACGTAGCATTGAAAGAGATTACCCTATCCATATGTCTCGCATTGATTATTTATCAGATGAAACGACTATTTTTGAGGTTAGATGTCCAAGAGGGATAAAAATAAAGAAACGAAAGGCAAAAGTGGGACACAAACCAGAAATTGGTGTCACATATATGACCTGACCAAATGGTGGATACCATCTCGAAGGTTCTCTTCCCCATGTGTACTCACAAAAGAATTAAACACATTCAAACCTTTAGTGCCAACAGAACAAATTCTTAAAATGTTTTGCATTGGTGAACTATCATTCTAGCCATTCTTCTGCGCCTTTTTTTGTTCGATAACTTAAAACTGGATAGATTTGTGAAATTGTTTTTTTTTTTTATTGAAACTGGATAAATTTGTGAAATGTTGTAAAATGACCTATCATCGTTTCACCTGACAGTATTTCTGCATAACCTTAGTAAGACATCAACGAACAGCTTTTGCACTTGACAATCCGAAAGATCAAACGTCAAAACGATTGGGCGGAGAAATGGGTTCGTTTTCGACAATCAGAACAGTTTATTGTAGTATCAAATGCATGCATGAAAAAGGAGGGGGGAGGAGGAGGAGAGAAAGAATAGGTTATTGACATGGCTAAAAGCGATTAATACCTTTGCGGTCGCTAGGGACTAATAAGGGTAGAAGCTGACCCGGTAACCTAGATTGTCGTGTTCCATCACACACTGCCAGTAACGGGTACTTACTCTAACAACAGGTACTGAGTGGGAACCCACTTTACTTTTACCTACTTCTTTCTTTGATTCTTGCCTATCCTATTTAAATAGAATTAGCTAGAAAGGTAACAACCCTTACTTCTGAATTCTTGCAGAAAAATTTTTCATTTTTTGATTTTTCTTGAGTAACGATTTAAAATTCTCCGTCACATGTCAAAGAGACAATCTCAATATGTGGTAGTGGCATAAAAACAAAATCGAAAATTAAAATCACTTTTGACCCTGCTGCCCTACTCACAAGACGAATACATTTCAATCCCAACTGCTTCAGATCCTATCAGCAACTGATGGCATCTTGTCTGACACTTTTTTTTAGCAATTTAACGTAAGATTTCTTGATATTTTACGAGTCTTTCTTTTCAGTTATTTGCCAAATAATAAACCATATACTTTTTCCATTTTCAAAACAATAAGGGTAATGTCCCGAAATGAACTTAATTTCTACCGTATATATTTGATATACTATCTTCCTTTGAGCATTACTCAAGGTAAACATACCTGACGTAAGGCACGTATGAATATTAGGCTATATATTACATGTATACAAATGAGCGGTATAGGGAAATGTATAATCTGTGTCACTGGAATGCACCTTTTGTATGGACAGAAGTAGGTTACATACCATGCCATGCAATTATTTTCTTTTATTTTAGATAAATTTTGAAGGTCGAATAGCGACAGAGAAGTTTTGGTATCAATTTCAAATACAATTTTTCTATAGCATTTGCCATAGCATTTAAAATATCTGTGTCGAAGATTCTGGAATTCTCTACTGTTCAGGCGCGCTTTATATGCGGATCTTTTGGATTCTTGACCCTATGAGGTGAAATTACCGAACATATTTAACGATATAATTTATGTTATCTAATTCCTTTTCAACTATTCTTCGAAACAGTTCGCTGCTTTACTAACTTATCGAACAATTGCAGTAAGATGAGTTGGTTATTCATAATTTGTTTTGAGGACGATTTTTCTGGAACTAATCATGGTACCAGGTAACGGTCGACAGTTCGATTTGCTGTACCTCAATATTGACTTTTTCTGAACTTTATATTTCAAGTTGATATGGTTATTTCATCACGACAGTTAATACTGCTAACTATTTTCGCAAATTATGTGACAGCATTCTGTCCAAGCCTTGATTCATGCACCTGTGACGATAAACCTGATGGTTATTATATTGACTGTAAGGGTCCTATCGATACATCCCTGTCTGGTATTATACAATTACTAGGTAGACGACAAGTGCAAAAGCTTACAGTCACTAACTCTTCATGGCCGGTAAGCTTTTTCTAGGCTTATTCCAGAATCACTTCTTTTGATATCCAGGAAAATTCAAAATTCAGTCATATCAGAACGTTTAAGAATCAATGTTTGAGAATCGTTCAAGAATTAAGAATCAATGAGCTTCCATAGAAACCTTTGGTTTCTACGGTTCCTTGAGCATTATTCTTTAGAATTCAATTTTGGGCAAGAAAAACTAGGAAAAACAAGATGTAAGATTAGTTCAAAGTCAAAAATTTTCACATTTCTTTATAAATAAAGATGAATCCCTCTTCCTATAATTTTAGAGTTTTCAATTTAGGTGCTTGAAGAATTGCCACCAGCCAATATACGGTCTCTCCAGTTGATCTCATGTGGCATCAAGAAAATTACGAATATAACCTTCGCCAAATTAGCAGATAATTTGGAAGATCTAACAATTACCAAAAATATGCTCACAACTGTGACATTTCTTGGTTATTTGCCAAAGTTAATTTCGCTCAATCTCAATTATAATCAGGTAAACCATGGTTCAAAAATATTCACAGCAATTTGACTGGAAATTTTGAAATGAAAAAAATTTCAGTTAACAGATTTACCAGATAATGCATTAAAAGGTGTCGAAAGTCTACGACATTTACGCCTTGAGGGAAACAAAATTTGCTCACTTTCAAGGTTAGTTCGAATTTTGTTTTTCGTCACATAGTGATTGTATTTATGGCAAATTGAAAGTTGTTTCAAATTAGAATATATTTTCCGGATTCAAACTTCCGACAAATGCAACTTGTTTTGATCAACTCCGGAATTTACGTTCAAAAAATCAGTTTACGAACAGGTTTTCCATCGTAAAATCAGCTGCGGCATTATAGAATGAGGTTTTTCATAGGTTAGGTTAATTTTAACGAGTATATAACTGATGATAATATTAACTACTAAAGTTGCGGCAAATGAGATATAGATGGCCTTGAACTGATTTCATTTAAGAATCTATTGACCAGTAACAACAACACGAATAACGAGATGGAAATTGGCAGTTAACTACTAACAGCAGAAAATCAGAGGTGTACAGAGGATTTTTAGAAGTCCGTAGTTCTTAGTTCCTTTAATCCCGACCTTCTCCTTCCCTTCCTCTTCCGTAATTTGTCGTATTATTTTCTTCTGCAACAATTAACGTTACTTTACAATAAATTGGGTACACACATACTTATATACAAATAAAAAAGACTTCAACAAAACTTGTTGTATGCAGTAAACTTATTATATGCAGTATTTCAGTTTTTAAATGAATAGGACGTAAATAGTTCAGAGAAATGTTGCACTGTAGCTCAAAGCTGATTATACGCTAATTAATATCCTGAATTTAGAAATCCATTGTGAATTCTTGAAAAAATGATCCCTTGCCTCTGTTTAATTTTTTCTTTCAAGTCTGACAAAAAATATAAGGGATAACTGTAAATATTTCAGTAATTCATTATTGGATATCAAGAACATACTAGAACTACTGGACTTGAGTGACAATTGCCTGAGCAATATACCAGCACAAAACCTAAGAAACTGTATCCGGCTGATGTATTTAGATTTATCCCATAACGCTATCAAGGAAATTGCCAATTTTCAACTTATGAATTTACCGTTACTCAAGGTAAAACATTCAAAATTCAAATTGATATTGTTTTGAAGCACTTAAAATAGGACGTTTCTCCCTAATTTGAGGATGGATGCTACCGAAAGCCTAAAAATATTGACTTATTAGCAGTTAATAGAATTCTTTTCCTCGATAGAAGGATCTTTCAGTCTATTCAATATCACCAGATACAAATTAAATTGTAACTAATTGAAAATTTTTATGAAGAATTTGAGGAGTACATACCGATTTCTTTAAAATGTACTTTTTTCAAAATAAAGCAGTGGCAAACGAAGGAGGTCAACGCATACTTAGCATCATAAAATGCCAGTCGGTCATCCTAATTTATCCAACTGAAATAAAAAATGGGTGGCTTTTAAAATTTTCAAAGAATATTTTGTGCAAGTAACTCAGGTAAAGAAGAAAAGGAACAAAAAGAAGTACGTGTTTTCACGGAAATGTCCACTACACTATTAATACAAGTCTCATCTCTCATGAACTACACTCTGATTCAGATTAACTATCGCTTATTTCCGTTTCAGGAACTACGAATAAATAACAACCAAATAAATTATATAGCACCGATGGCATTCATGAATGTGCCACTTCTGAAACATCTCGTCTTAAGGAATAATTTAATTTCTTCTATTGAAACGGAACGACTTTTCCAAGTCTTCAAAAGTCTTGAAGTTCTAGATTTGTCTGAAAATATGCTCAATAAGGTCAAGTTTTACTCGAACTAAGTATAGCATATAACCAAAAAATTGATTTTAACAAACAACTGGGAGTTTTGAAACTTGATACGTGATTTTACGCAGCGGCATCATTTCCAATTTGCTCAATAAAATACAATGAAATTTATAAAAAGCAACCTAAATGGGCATTTCAGGTACCATCATTCAAAGAATTATTAAATCTGCGACAGATTCATCTCAATCACAATAAAATCTCAAGAATTGAGACGCTTGCATTTAGTTCCAACAGAAGGCTTCAGCTAATCAGCCTGCAGGTTCATCAATAATTTTCAAACAGTCGTTTTTGAAGATTTCGCGGATCATTTTTACCACAGTTTAATAACATTACATTATTAACTAATTAAAGTCGTTTTTATAGTGCAACCAAATTACAGCGATGTCACGGAATAGTTTTGATTCATTGGATGAGCTTGTTGTTCTCAACTTGGCTAATAATGCTATCAAAAAAATCGGTAAGCAGTAGCAGTTAACCACTTAATGAAAACTCGAGTGATTGCAGAGGCTTCTTTGAAGATGCCTAGCTGAACTCATTTTTCAGAACGCGTAATGCTCGATGGGATGCGAAATTTGCAACAACTTAATTTAAGAAATAATTCTCTTAGTGTGTTGGAAAATTCGACGTTTACATCAGTTTCACAAATAACAACCCTTGACCTGGCGCATAATGGCATCCATACGATTGAAAAGGATGTATTCACGCCACTTAAAGATATATTCTGGCTCGACCTGTCATCCAACCTCATCAAAGCAATAGAAAAGGACACCTTCAAAGAAAAAATAGCTAACATCTTGCTAAATGGTATATTTAATATATAAAAAACAAAAGATAGAAAATCGAGTTTTTCGAACTCAACCGAGATTTGCAATTTCATTAAAATTGTAAAATTTTTTAGTGTTTAAAAAATTTTTCTTTCAATATTTTCCACGGACCGCAAGTAATTTTAAGACAATCCGCTTCACTGTGATGAAAAATTGGATTGGTTGGTGAATTATTTGGTGGCAAATCAGGTGCGAACCTTCTTACCCTACCAGACTGAGGTACTGTGCGCCGGGCCGGAAAAATACGCCGGTGTTCGACTGAAAGAACTGATGATTGTGAAAGCCAATGAAACAATGAGCAAGGCGAGACATGCTTTTTATGCAAATGGTCAAAGTGATATCGGTAAGCAAAGTTCAAAAGAATATATCACGAACCAATGTTAGATGTATTAAACTCCTTCTGACAATGAAGTTTGATAATAATATGAGCAATTATAGGTGGTGATATGTTAAGCGACATCCTATCTTCTGAAGTTTATGATTTGCTCCTTAATTTAGCAATTACGCAGCCGCCAAATCCATTTGAGATGGTACCGGTTATTGGCGCCCTCACCGACGCTATTCCCTCAGTCCAGAATATTCCTGGGATCAATTACTTACCTAAAGCAAATGGAGAACGTATTCTTGACGCTCAAAAATTTAACAGTGCTATTGAACAGGTAAATCTTTATGCAACCTATAATTCTTCTAAATACTATTGGCGAGGCCTAACAGTACATTAGATTTAATTTGAGTTTTTGCACTTTATTTTCAGCTCTCTTCACCACTCACTCGCGTCATAGCTGGTAAACAACCAGGACCAGCGGATATTGAACAGTTTCTCCAGACTATTCCGAATTTGGTTGTTAACATACCCGGCATCGGTGATGTCGACGTAAGCAAGGTAAATAACGCTTCACCAATGATACATGAAGATGCAATTTCCATTTTCAAATTTGCATAGGTGATGACGTTGAAAAAAAGTGGAATGCCAAATTTTTAGCTTCCACCGAATATATTAGCACATGTATTGCGAGGTGGACAAATTCCGGGCTTACCTTCGGAAGCTCTGGACAAAATTATGAAGGAATACCTCAAACGCATGTATGTAGCAGCAGAGACGGCTAAACGGGAAAGACTTGTGACTGCTGAATTCCGTAATTTATTACCGCCGGAAACGCTACCACAGACGCTTACAACTCAAGTAATGCAAGTAGCCGATATGTCATATCCTGATCGACGACAAACACAAAGCATACGGGTAAGCATATATGTTTGCTATCAAAATTAAGTTAATAGCTCCTTGCCGCTTTTTTCGGGTTGACATCAACATGACTTATACTGCCAGCAAATTTTATGCTAACCATCAACAGTAAGTCTATTTTTTTGCTGTATTTTCCCAGATTAAAGAAATTCACAAAGGTTGAACTTTATGACAATTTTTCCCAAAAATTTTAGGATTACTATATATCACAGTTGGCAGTGAGCAGTGCTCCGGACCAGCTGGAAAACTTGTCAGTGGAAAAGTCGAGAAGTTTGTCATCAACAGTAATCGAAGTGATAAGAATGCTACCACCTGGTTATAATATCAGCAGGATACCGAAACCGGTGATTGATGCCTTATTTCGTGGCGAGGTGCCCGATTTTACGCTCCTTCCCAGTGAACTTCAACAGCACCTTCTCACAGATGGATATAGATTGATTGCTGCGTTGTCCACCGATGTAAGTATTTACATTATTATTTAAGCTATCTAAATTTATGTGGAATCGATTTCAAAGCCACTTTAGTAACATATACTATTTTAACAAATTTGGTAAATCCTATTAATGTTCAGTCCGAATTATTAACCGATAATTCTTGAACCGATCCCGGCGATTGGCAAAAGTTTGTATCACCATATTTTGCATTAATAGCACTTTCCTTGTAAATAGCACTGGTAATCGTAATTTCATTTTCAAGGCTAATAAGACAGTGGAAGAAATGCTACACAATTTGCCGACATTCAAACGTCCAATAAAGCCTACTTTTATTCCATATGATATCAATGAAGTGACCAACGACCTAACGCAAACTAAACAACGAGCTGAGAAATTGGTTCGGGTCCAGTACTACACTGCTTTATTACTTGGTTAGTTTCGATTATTTAAAAATCGATCGATATGAAAGGATAATTCAAAATTCTTGTGTGCAAGCAAAAGTAATCGGAAGCAGTGAAGACGGAAATGACTAAAATTCAAAAAACAAAAATAAATAAATAGAAGTATTGAATGTCTAACTGAAAAAAAAGGAGAAAAACAAGTCTGGATAATTCATACAAAATCCTTCTTCTCATATCACTCCAGGTTTTGCCGGAGCAGCTTCTATAGCAATCTTGGGTTTAATATGTGTATATATGAAGCGGAAACGCTTGGGAGATACAGAACCAAACATCGATGAAGATTCCCTAGTGAATCCGAATCAAATGGCACAACCACAACAATCAAGTACAAGTGGATCAAAGATAGATGCTTCTCTTATAAAACATTGTCAACATCTTTCAGGGAATTCTCATATGTTCAAAATTTAAAAGTGAATTTACTTAAAACTCTAAAATTAGTTTTGTATTTAGAGCATAATTTACATTATAGGGAGAGTTATCGTTAATCTCTGTTTCGGTTTTTGATACTTTTCCAATGAAAAAAGAATGCAGTATTAGGATTTTAATGAAAAAAAAGCGAAATGTGTATATCTTTTGTCATATATTTCGATTCAGTATCAAATGCAAATTCTACTGTAAAAGCTGATTTAGTCCTCTTTTTAATTATATTCTAGTCTATTGCTTTTGTCTTTGTAAACCTTGTTTTGCTGTACATTTCATTGTTTTGTTTGTGATTGTACATTAAGTTATTTTCATGTTTTTTCTTGAGTTTGAACTGTTTCAAAACTTCAAATATCCGTTCAAGGTATGCACTAGCACTATTTTTCCTAATATTTTTCCTACCCTAGTCGAGAGGATCCCGAATGCAAGATCTCTATCATCTAACAAAAAATACATAATTCTTTTGGAGATCATAGGGAAAAATGAATTTTGATAAAAGTGATAACCTCATTCTTTCTGATTCTAGTGCCATATCTATCCATTCATCCTTCTTAGTAAGTGCGAAAGATTCAGGCAGAGTTTTCAGATTAATGCCGCCATCACTTTTTTAAATTCACTCTTGTAAAGCTTTCATTAATATGCTGAATTATCCACTATTTTCCTTCTTCCGGGTTTAAAAATTATAAATTCCAAATGGCTGGTTGGAAAACTGAAAACTGTCACGGCGTTGGCACTAAACACAGAAACCTTGATAAGGATACAAACATGTTTACCTTACTTGCCAATTTGTATGACACAGCAAGACGCTGCGAATTTTTAACGCATTATTTCTATCGATACAGTATGACTTTCCAATGAGTAACAGAAAAAAGAAAACACTTCTATGGTTTGAGATAACAATGAAGACAGCGTAATAACAACCGTTGAAGAATTTGAAGGTTTTCCACTTTAATGCTGCAAATCCAAAAATCCTGGGAATTCTAAATTCTATGGATGGTCCATATCAGTCTGATTCTGTCTATTTCCAATACATAACCGAGAAACAACCATAAAGAGAATGTACTTTTGACTATAAACTGTAACTCCTTCTTTTCTTCCTAGATAATGATTGTTGTTGAGCAACCGCAGACACCACCTGAGCTCAAATATCTATGGAGTATGGAAAATGATCTGACAAGTTCAGGAACTCGAGGGGTAATTCTGAATAGTACCCAGTAAATATGCCCAATTTGGTAGGCATGTGCTATGCCAGATACGAAATACCCAGAAATTAATTAGCACAATCAACATTAATATAATTATCTATCACAGCATGTAAAAATGAAGCAGTCCAGAACTCGTGATCTTGATAAAAGAATGCTCCATGTAACCAGTTCTTCATTTCTCGGCAATTTTGGAGATATAACAGCATCGGTCACTTCTTTCCCCATGGCGTGAATCAAGAATAACAATACGAACGATAGCAGCTATCAAAAAGAGTAGCGGAAGGAAATCACCTAGCAGATTCAGAGAACAAATTTCAGGTTTAAGAACTATATGATGAAGGGCGAATATTCAATAAGTTTCGAAACGCTGCCGTGAAACGAGTCTTCTCTCTCTCCCTTATTTTTTTTATTCTTTTCTACACAGTTTGCTTACTTGATTTCTTTCTTGCTTCAAAAAAGTAAACATTTTTTCTGGCAAGAATACACACGTTTAAACTTGAAACCTTGCATAACCTGATTTCCAAAAAATCTGGTGTTTTTGGCTTCCAAATTTAACGCCAAAAAAATCTTTTTTCAGCTAAAACTTCTCAAATTTGGTAGTATTTACAATCCCAATCCAAAAAAAAAATTCTAAAAACGATCGGGTTCTTACTGTCATGGAAAACTTACAGTAATTCGTTGCAACTCAATTTTATCCATAACAGAATAGCACTAGATATGTCAAGAGATCCATGGAAGTAGATTTGGCTGTCATGCAATACTGATGGTATTATATTTCGTAAGAGGGCAAGCTGGTATAATCAGCCACGTGTGGTAAATTATTGGTAAAGAGAAAAATCCTTGAAAGAGTGACCTTCGCCATCAATGTGATGCATCTCGCTTCAATAAATTTTATCAACATTAAAGGCTAAACGTGCTGTAGAATATTGCAAACTCTTTTTTAATGACTAATGCTTCGAGCATAGAGATCAATTTCATAAGAGATGGAAAAAATCGCCAAGATGTTACCGGGAAATTCAACTATTTGACGACCTAAAAAGGGAATTTAGGAGTGGTTTTGTTTGGTTACAAGAACGAACGGATAGAAGGGAGGGGGAGGTATGGTAGGAGAGCAGGGAGACGGCTAGTAAGGTGCATTCATCGTCGACCTTGCTTGAGTATGAGTTTGGCCGATCGAGATGGGAAAGGTCCTCCCGTTCCGTCTCCACCTAACCATTTAGTGTATTGAGCTGCTCTTCGGTGTCTACAGGTGCCGACTGAGCATAAGAATTTGACAACGACCCTCCCTTCCCAATCACCGACCATTATCTATATCTCACAATTTTCGAACCACTCAACCTGTATCTGCTCCGATCGTCATCATAGACATATCATACAAATAATACAACCATTATTTATCCGGTTACTGTTACTACTACCACTGCAACTGCAACTGTGTATTTCTGTCATCACCACTAGCACATGTACATTACTGGTAAAACAGGTGCCTCTTAACACGGATACTCATGTTACTTATCGATATTCTATTTCAGACGAACCAATAATGCCGGAACCCACCAAATTCATTTTGGTACCAGAATCATCATACAGTAACGTTACAGCTTTGCATTCCTGCAGACAGTGTGTAAAACCACTGACGGTTGTGACGTGCACCAACATATTTTGTGATGGTAATCACGAGGAAGGAAGTGGGACCAGTGAATGCAACCGTGAGGATGAAGGTGAAAGAATCAATAGTAATAGATATGCAGCAAGCGGGAAATGCTACAATAACGAAACTGATGACGTGCATCATGATGGGGATGAAGACAACAATGATAAAGGTCACGACAACAACGACAAAAGTGTAAAATCCACGCAAGAATGGCGCAGAATCAGAATCTATGATAATGAACGACAACGGAAATTCACAGGACGCAGAGAAAAACAACGGTCGAAAAGACGAGATACAATCAATCAATTTATTGGAAGTTTCGTTTTATTTGTCAGCACTATGCGAGTCTCACTGGCTTGTCCTGAAATTATTTCATCAATCTGCCGTTGTGATGATTCACAGAATGGTATAATCCTCAAATGCTCACATGTTGATGGATCCCAGGCTGTTTACATGTTGAAAGCTAATCAGATCAATTTGGGTCTGATCCAACAGCTAGAAATGCAAGATTCTGGGCTGAAACATATTCCTGCTGGATTTTTTTCCGGATTATTCATCAAGAAACTGGATTTGTCATATAATAGTATTACAGATATCGACGAAAACAGCTTCCTGGAGATGAACGATATTTTACAGGAACTTATATTACATCATAACAATTTAACACAGTTACCATCTAAAGCACTAACACCATTATCAGCACTTTTACGGCTCGATTTGTCCAATAATTCAATTGGTGACATTGAAGCGGAGCATGCCTTTCCGCCATTATCCAAGGTTCATCTTTGCCTATTATACCTAATTTACGTAATCTACAACTGAAACCCTAAAGGGCAAGTACATCTTGACATGCACAATTTTCTCCTTATTTTACCTTAAATTCTCAGGATTTAAAGTTGAAGGACACGCTTTTTTAATAATCACTCAACACAGCCAAATGAATAATCACGGAAAAATGACCTTTTCGACATACGTTTTAACTGTTGGATGGACTTCCCATTCTGCTATAGTATTATTACGATTAAGCAACTATTATCATCACAACCATTTGAAGTAACATTTGTCCTTTAGTCGTCTACAATAATGATATGATAATCGAGGTTAAAGGTTATAAGAAATCGATGAAGGGAGATAATTAGCGACCTTTCCTCATAAAAACTTTAAAAAAAAACCTTTCTAAGGAACCACTAAGGTCAATGTTTCTTTGACCTTAACTTAATGGATTTCAGTGTTTCTCCCTTCAGTACTGGAAAATCCATATCAAAATAGTTATAACACGTAAATTATGAGTGAAAATAATTTGCAGCTATATGATGTTAGCTTAGCAAATAATCGTATATGCCAGATACACAAGAATGCATTTGAACATGTTAAACACAGTATACAAACGATTAATCTTGGCAGGAACTGTTTGAAGGAAGTTCCAGCACCAGGTACTTTTTTTCTTTTAGTATATATATGTATGTATATATATATATATATGTATATATGTATACATATATATTGGAATATTTTCTTTACTATATCTTGGCTAAATTAGCTCGGATTTTGTGTCTATTTATGCACTATGGTCGAAGTGAAACTTATTAAAATTACTGATGCTTCAAAATTTTTCTGTCCACTTGTTTATTCATTAAATATCTGCTTTTATACCACCAAAATTGCCAGAAATATGTGTTACTGAGTGGAATTTATTATTAAATTTAGTAAAGAAAAGTTATCTGAATCTCTATTCGAACAATTTCTGCAAAAAATTCGACATTTTCTCATCGGTGTGAACTGAATGATCATTTTATTTATCGAAATAATTAAGGGATTTATAGCAATTCGAGGATTCAAACAATTAATGGCACTGCATTTACACAACAACAACATCAGCTCACTGAAAGCACTGTCGTTCATGAACTTACCATTAATTAATTTGTTGAATCTGGCATCAAATCAGATCTCAACCATTCATAACCGAACATTCCTCAATGTACCCAATTTGCGATACCTGTATTTAACCCGAAATCGAATAACTAATGTCAGTAAACCTATTGGTTTCTTTGCTTTCTCGCCTTTCGTTTTAGGTCTTCTTTACCGTTTATGAAGTTTGAAGTATACATTTATAGCAGTTATTTCATTTATAGCACCATTTTCCTGTTTTCCCTTTTCTCTCCTCTCTCTCTCTCCATTATTCAGAATATATTTTCATATGGTTTAGGCACAGTGATAGAATTTTAAGTATTCCTTAAGCTACCTTTTAGTGCTACCTGGTACTAACTTTGCCTTTTTAGTTCAGAATAATGCGAAATGGAATAAATTCACCGTTATTTTTATAAACAAGAAACTTCACCGCTGAAGTTAACAATGGTGGTATTATTAAAGCATAAATGATTGATTTAAATCTGGTTTCAGATCTCACCACATCAGTTTAGCTCATTCGAACAACTTGAAATGCTTGATCTGACCGGCAACCACCTGAATGAACTACAGGAACATTCATTTTCAAATTTGAAAAATTTACGACAGTTATATCTAGGTGAAAACTATATAAGAAGCGTAAAACCAGGTAGTTTCGCAAACAGTTCAATGGTCATCCTGATTTTGAATTCAAACCGCCTCGAGGAACTTCAAGAAGGAATGTTTGATGGATTGCCTAAATTGCAACAATTAGCTCTCAAGGATAACCACGTTTGTTTCTTGCACTAAAAGAAAATTTATATATATGCAATATATAATATATACTATATCCATATACAATATATAATGTTTAATATATAACATATATAATGTGCAATATGTAATATAATATGTGGTACATAATATATACAATATATATATATATATATATATATGACATATAATGAATGTATAATGTATAATATACAATGTATATGATGTACAATATACAATATATAATATACAATATGTAATATATAATACATAATATGTAGTATATTATTATATAACATGTAATATATAATTAATATATAATATATAAT